CCATGTCGAACCCAAGCACCTTAAAGTTGCCAGCCATGCTAAACTTAAACCAATAACAAAATACATGTCACCCGCTGAGATAGATAACATATCACTTGTTTTGCCTATATTTCGGCTACTGTGATTGTTGAAAAATTGAGGCTTATGCTCTTTTAACCCAAAAACTTATTTTGTAACCTATTTTTGACCCAAAATATCTATAAAACACCTTAAAAGCCATGACAAACCCAGTCATGGCCTCAAAAAACCGCCTCTAAAAATCGGACTTAACTAGAAACCAAAAATCAATCCAGGTTCAGATCTGTTTTTTCATGAACTTTTAAGGTACAAAAACACTATAAACTCCCTACATCAAATGAAATAATTTGACACAAAGATCCCTTATTTTGGTGATCTAAATCAATGCTAACGACAAGTTTCTCTTTCTATCGCCAAAGTCCAGCAACCCTTTTCTCCTCTCTCTCAATCAAGAATCAAAAAATAACAAAAATAAACATCTATACCAAAATGAAATTGAAACAATTTCGAGGGACCATAATTGTATGATTTGCATGATTGTTTAAGTTGGATGACCAAAATGAATGTTTTAGACACTTATGGTATGTCACTTATGTTTGCCATATTTTTCATTTTAGCCCTCTTCTTCTAATCCCATTCTTTCATAAGAATTTGTGATCAATTGCTCCTTAAATAGGACTTGATCATCTAAAAATAAAGTTTGAGGATCAAATTAGAAAAAAAAATTTGCACTATGAAAAATATACAGTGAAAATCTCATGCATCTTAGTGTACAAGTAATATGGTTAAGGATCCCTTTTTTCTTTCATTTTCTTTTACAGTTTTATCATTTCATATTATTTTTTTTAAAAATAGTTTTGTGGTTATCTTTTATTTTTTTTTATTGGTTTATCTCAATTTTAAACTTAATCCACGAGTTTTGCAAGTTTTTTTTGGACAAAGGTTTTTTTTTAAAAAAAATGTTTTTTATTCAAATTTTGAAGAGTTTTTTTATTATTATTTTACATAGATAAGCTTTATTTTATAAATTTTTTTTGTTATTTTAAAATAATATTTCTAAATATGGTCTTGCATAATATTTCCTTTTATTTTATTCACTTAATTATATATATATAAACAAATTCAATTGAAACAAGCAGGTAAAAAAAATTAAAAATATAATTACTTTCTAATAATTTTTTAATGACCAATGTGCCATTGAAAAAGATTAAATTGCCCTAACACTAAGGCTTCCATTTTTCCAATTGAAGAGCAAAACAATAACTTTACTATAGTAATTTAAAATAATCTATTTCTAGTATTATAGTGAAAAACTCACTTCCTATATTTTTTTTTATTAATTACTAAAAATAGTAGGAAAAAATAATAATAAATTACCATTATCTTTTAATTTATTTATAACTAGATAAATGATATATGTTTTGCTAACTCACTTCCTATATTTTTTTATTAATTACTAAAAATAGTAGAAAAAAATAATAATAAATTACCATTATCTTTTAGTTTATTTATAACTAGATAGATGACATATGTTTTGCTATGTTATGGCCAGGTTAACTTTTTATCAACGTAAAAAAAAATGTTAATGAGCAATCAATATTTTAAAAGGAGTAAGAAAAATTTAAGAATTTGATAGTTCAAAAAGATTGTTTGTGTAATCAAAGCAATGACTTGGAAAACAAGCAAAACAAAACATCATTAAACGAGCATCTCATGTTTACACTCACATAATTAATTTAATTTAATCTAAAAATAATATTCATTTTAAAAAAGCTAGATTCAATAAAGGTTTGAAAACATTCAAGTTAACTCTTGTTACTTTTAAAATAACAAAAAAATCTCATAAAAAAAATAACATGTTGGTGGATGAAACAAAAAAAAAAAGAGCTTAAAAGGCGGAGAAAAAAAGCCAAACAAGCTTGGGTTAAGCTTGTAGACCTGAGTTAATTTCTCAAACTCGTAACCCATTAAATTATAGACATAAGCTTAATTAAGAAACTTAACACTCGTCCAATTAAATGCTAGAAGATGAAATCAATAAATTTAATTTGATTAAAAAATAAAATTCCTTTTAAAAAAACTAAATTTAACAAAGATAAAAAAATCCCATATAAATTGAATAAAAAGAATGTTGGACGATGGAATCAGAAAAAAAAAAAGCTTAAAAAAAAACAAACAAGCTTGAATGAACCTTATAAGCCCGTGTTAAACTCTCAAACCTGTAATCCGTTGAATTCTCGATCCAAACTCAATCTAGACTAATGAAATATTGGAGGATGAAATCAATTAATTAAATTTAATTTAAAAACAAAATTTTGTGTTTAAAAAAGATAAACTTGACAAAGAAAAAAAAAACCTCAAGGTAGCCCATATTATTTTTAAAACGATTGAAAATATCATTGAAAATGAGAGAGAAAATGACAAAGTGCTAAAGGATTAAAAAAAAAAAGCAAAGATTAAAAAAAACCAAATAAGTCTAAGTGAATCTTATAAACCCGGGTTAATTTTTCAAGTTTATAATTTGTTAAATTATAAATACCCAACTCAGCCAATAAGCCAAACAGGTGACCAATTAAGTGTCAGGGAAGATTAAATCAACTAATTTAATTTGATAATTTTTTTAAAAAAACTAAATTTAACAAAGATAAAAAAAAAACTCAGGCAATTAATTTTATTTTGAAAACAACTAAAAAAATGCCATAGAAAGGGAATAAAAAAATAACAAAATATTAGAGGATGAAATAAAAAACTTTAAAAAAGAAAAAAAACCCATAAAAACTCAAGAGAACTTCATAAACCCGAGTTAATCTTTTAAAGTCATAATCCATTAAATTTTAGATTTGAGCTCAACTAAAAAGCTAAAAACCTGGCCAATTAAATGATGTAGGATGAAACAATAAAAAAATCAAGGTAAAAAAGTAGCAAAAAAAAGGGATTAAATTTGATAGAAAAAAACTCAAGGAAGATGAAATTGTAAATTTTTTTTTCAAAAATCACTTAAGCAAAACAAATTATAATTAAAACAATGAGAACCAAATATAATAGATAAAAAAAACTATACGGGATGAAATTAAAAAATAAATTAATTTCATAAATTATTCTAAATAAAAAAAATTGTAGTTTCAAGAATAAGAACCAAATGTTAAGGATAATAAACCTTAGAGGCTAACTTGATTTTTAGAAGGCCAACAAGAAAATCAAGTTGGGGAGAAAGAAAATGAAAAATAACAAAAGGTCAAACATGCTAAATCGACAACAATTATACCATACACGATGCTTGTACATAGAAAATATGTTGAGATACTTTGTTTGCTATCTTAAAAGCAAGTTTTTACTCATTGTACTGTGTTGCACGCGTTGTCTAATTTCAATAAGTATAATTTATGCTATCTATTTTTTTTTTAAAATAATTTATTTATTAAATTACCCTACTATTCTAATCACACTCAATAACTATTAAATAATAAAATATAAAAATTATAAAATAAAACTCTTAATCAAATGTATCTTGTTTTTAAAAAAATTCTAAGAGCAATGAAGTGACTTAATTTTTTTAAAACTAAGTAAAAGTCAAAGTAAAAAAAAAAAAACCCTATCTAATTTTAATGTTTTATTGCTTTCAATGGTAAGGACACTGCAATAAAAATATAAAAAGATTATTTAACATTATCTATTCTTGTAATAACTAGCGGATCCAATTAAAAAACCTTTCTACCCTTGATACCAAGCCAAATGAGTTTGATCTATAAGAAAAAAACAGTAATTTTACTATATAAATCCACATTAGAATACGAGGATATACACTATAAATTCCTAAGTTCTTTTAGCTTTTGGTATAATTACACTAATATAAGAACCTAGGCTTAGCTAGACCTTTATTCAACTCAGTCAACTCAATGCAATTCGTTTTTTTTGTTGTTTGATTGGACTTCGGCTTTTATTCTCATAAGTAATAATCCAACCAAAAAAAAGTTACAGTCACATTCAATATATTTTATTTATTTTCTAATTTTAATAATTTAAATTAAATTAAATTAAATTAAATAACTAAACTTAAAATGCTCGGGTTATTTATCAAATAACCAAGTCAAGCTCAAGTCGACTTTAAACTGCATTTTATTTAAAATATATAATTATCAACACAAATAAAAATTTTAGCTTTCTTAAAATTAATAAAAACTTAAATAGATCAAAATTCAGCCTAACACGAACTGCAATATAGAAGTTCATATATATATATATATATAATCTATGAAAAGAAATCTTGTAATAGTAATTTAATTAAGCTAAACAAAAAGAAAACCTTATTATAACAGATGGCAGGTATTCAATTTTGAATAATTACAATATGAAAATAACCGTCAGTTAATTGACATTATCCACTCACGAAGATTAAAAGAATAAATTCCAAACGATTACATATATTTAACTTCCAAGAAAAACAAGAGTAGGATGGAGGGCAGTTTGTTCATGAAAATATCGAATCAACCTTTAAAAGCGGGTGCTTTTTCTCATAATGTTATTATATTTCTATTTATTTGATTTTGTGTTAAAAAAGTTGATTTTTATCTTGTTTTAAATTAATGTTAAAAATAAATTTTAAAAATTAAAAAAATTATTATAAATAAAAAATATTTTAAAAAACAAATATAATATAAAACAGACACAACCTCAATCCATTTAATATTACATCAAGAATTAACATTGGAAATATTTAAAATATAAAAGTACATATATTTTGTGGTTAAAAAATATTTTTAAAGTTTAATTTTATATATTTCTACATAATTTTAAAATATTGATATAAAAATAAATTTTAAAAATAAAAAATATTATTAAAAACAACTCCAAACCATATTCCTATACAGACAGTAACTAAGAAGTGAAAGTGAAACTTCATTATCCAAAGAAAACTCAACAACGTGCTGTGGTTCAATACGTTTTTTTTTTTTTTTTTAATCTTTTTTTTTTTTTTTTTTTTTTTTTTAATCTTATTATTGGGTTCGAAGAGAAGAAAAGGAGCAGCACCAACAAGAAAAACCCCTCAAAAAAGAGATTATTACAGAAAGAAATGCAGGGTGATGAGGCCAAGGTCTTGCTAGGCTTCCCTCCCAATTCCCGCCCCACTCTCTCTCAGGTCAACTCTCTCTCTCTCTCTCTCCCCTTCGTCAATTTCTTCTGCAATCTTGATCCTAACACAGCGCCTGATCCTTTAGTCGTTTCTCTTGCGATTCTATATTTTATGAGCTCCAGTAAATAAATAAAATTAATTTTTAATTCTAGGGTTTGAATAAATCACTTTCTATAGTAATCGATCATTGATTCTCAAGCTAAGCTAAGCTCTTCTCTTTGTTTCCTTGCTTCTTGTCGTCAAATGATATATTTATGTATTTGCGTCTCCATCTTATGTATTAGGTTAAAGCTGCATACAGAAAGAAAGTATGGGAATCTCATCCTGACCTCTTTCCTCTTCATGAAAAGCCCGGTGCCGAGTCCAAGTTTAAGTTGGTGATTAAGCATTCACAAAACTTTTTTTTTGTCTCCTTTTCTTTTTCAGTGTTTCAAGAGTTTTGTGATCTTCTCAACTTATGACAAACCTTGTGTGGCTAAAATGCTTGCCTGCATCTGTATTATTATTAGGGCTTAGGCGGATGAACCGTCATTATAGCATCAATGCGCATTTTGCTGTAGTAATTCGATTTGTAATTTTTTCCCCTCTTTTTTTAAATAATGTCAAACTAAATGTTGCGTCTCTTTAGGTTGTGTATTGTGCCAGGTAATTTTTTTTCTTTATAATTGTTTTCATGGTTCTAACTGCTGTTTTTACGTTTCCTGCAGATTTCAGAAGCTTACACTTATTTGCAGACCGGTAATTCTTCACTTCTTTTTGTATCACGAGATATATTGAAAAACTTAAATCGTGGTTTGCAAGCTCTGAAAAATGGATAAGAAAACTTATTGGAAGTGGACGGAGCTGTGATTCTGCATTAATATTCTCATGATTTTGCATACATGTATTTGAGATATTGATTGACTTTGATTAGAAACTTGTAGAAACATTGTGTGTCAATTTCATGCTGTTGCATCTCCTGTCTGTCTGGTGATATGACTTTGTTGTCGTAAATCTGCAATTTGCTTGTTTTTTCTTTGTGGGTGTATTTTTTTGTTGTGCCCTCCTTTTCGTGTTAATTGCTTGCTCTTGGGGTTCTCAACTCACTTGTTACTGTAGCTTTTGTAACTAACACAGGTTTATTTGGAAGACCCATTTTACGGTTTTGACTTTGAGGAAGAAACACAAGTCGACTAGGTTTAGAGGTACACGCAACAGGAGCCTTGCACTTGAGAAAGGATTTCCAGGGTGATAACATGGTAAATTGATTCTATTACTGAATTTGTTTCCTATTTTCTTGCTGCATGGTATTGATGAAACTCAGAATTGCCCGTGTTATTTTCTTTTTCTTTATTTTGTTGTGGATGTTGCTGGTGTTGTGTTGTTGTGGGTGTCCTATTTTCTTTGTCAGTGTGATGACTTTGTCCTTCACTTGGAATATATGGAAATCTGGTGGGGCATGTGAAATTTTCGTTGTTGGTATCAAGGATTTTGTTTTAGTTTTTTTTAGACTGAAATTCATGTCAAATTGAAGTCCTTAATTTGTGCTCCACTGCCACATTCATCATCCATTTAGTTAACCCAGTATCATTGCTTGTCTTTTAATCTTTTTATATATTTATATCTTAGTTGGATCTTTTTTTCTTTGTTCTTTCCAATTTTGCTCAAAGTCCTGTTATTTTAAGGACATCTGCCAGTAAACTACAAGCACCAAAACCATGACCAATCTCAAGAGATGATTTTATCATAATGTATATCTCTTTTGTTGCAATATTATTGTTTCTGATTTAGGAAGGCTCCTTTGTCTGGTGCTTTTATTACCCCTTTAGATAGTAGTCTTTTGGTTGCTCTAAAATTTAAATCCCTGCACGTTTTCATTTCTTATAGCTGTTTGCTTATTTTAATGCTTCTTTGAATGTAACAGCCAAGGATATAGGCTGCTGCTGCTGTGCTAATACACGAATGTTTGAAGAAATGGCCCCACTTCGATCCTCAGGATATATTGATCCTGGATGGGAACATGGCATTGCTCAAGATGAAAGAAAAAAGAAGGTCAAATGCAACTACTGCGGGAAAATAGTTAGTGGTGGAATATTCAGACTGAAACAACATTTAGCTAGAATGTCTGGTGAAGTTACTCATTGTGTTAAGGTTCCTGAGGAAGTATGCTTCAATATGAGAAAAAACCTGGAAGGATGCCGTTCAGGTCGAAAGCGAAGGCAAGCTGAATTTGAACAGGCATCTTTAGCTTTCCACTCTAATGAGTATAATGACATGGAGGAAGCTTCCTGCAGTTACAAACAAAAAGGAAAAAAGGTGGTGGGTGACAAGAACTTGGTTATAAGGTTTGCTTCTCTTCGATCCTTAGGATATGTGGACCCGGGCTGGGAACATTGTATTGCTCAAGATGAAAAGAAGAAAAGAGTGAAGTGCAATTATTGTGAGAAAATTATTAGTGGAGGCATCAATCGCTTTAAACAACATCTGGCTAGGATCCCTGGGGAAGTTGCCTATTGTGACAAGGCACCTGAGGAGGTGTACCTTAGAATCAAGGAGAACATGAAATGGCATCGCACTGGAAGAAGGAATCGGAAACCTGAGTCTAAAGAGATATCCACTTTCTATACCAACTCAGATAACGAGGATGAAGAGGAGGAGCAGGAGGGAGGGTTGTTGCAATATTCAAGTAAGGATTTGCTGGCCATTGATGATAAAATTTCAGACAATGACATCAGAAATAATATCAAGGGGAGGTCCCCTGGTAGCAGCAGCAACGGTGCTGAACCACCAATGAAAAGATCAAGATTGGATTCAGTGTTTTTGAAGTCTCTTAAAAACCAAACATCATCGCACTACAGGCAAACAAAAGCAAGGATGGGTTTTGAGAAGAAAGCTCTAAAGGAAGTGATCTCTTCCATCTGCAAATTCTTTTATCATGCAGGAATCCCTTCAAATGCAGCAAATTCCCCATATTTCCTCAAAATGCTGGAGTTGGTTGGCCAATACGGGCCTGGTCTGCAGGGACCTTCAAGCCAACTACTATCTGGTCGGTTTCTTCAAGATGAGATCATTACAATAAAAGAATATCTTGAAGAGTTTAAGGCATCTTGGACAATTACTGGCTGTTCTATTGTTGCTGATAGTTGGAACGATCTCCAAGGTAGGACATCAATTAACCTTTTGGCCTGTTGTCCCCGAGGTGCATACTTTGTTTCTTCTATTGATGCCACTGATATGATAGAAGATGCCGCAAGCCTTTTCAAGTTGTTGGACAAGGTGGTGGAAGAAATTGGTGAGGAAAATGTTGTTCAGGTAGTTAAATATTTATTTCTGACATTTCTCACATTACCCAAATGCACTCATAAATGGGTGCCTAATAAGCTGTTTTCTTCTGGTTTTCGAGACAGGTAATCACTAAAAACACTGCCAGTTTTAAGACTGCTGGGAAGATGCTTGAAGAGAAAAGGAGAAATTTATTTTGGACACCATGTGCTATCCATTGCATTGATCAAATGGTAGAGGACTTTTTGAATATAAAATGGGTAGGAGAGTGCATAGATAAGGCTAAAAAAGTTACAAGGTTTATTTACAACAATACTTGGTTGTTGAATTATATGAAAAAAGAATTCACAAAGGGACAAGAACTTCTCAGGCCAGCTGTTACTAAGTTTGGCACTACATTCTTCACTTTGCAAAGTTTGTTGGAACAAAGGGTTGGTCTTAAGAGAATGTTCGAATCAAAAAAATGGATATCTTCCCGATTTCCCAAATCAGATGATGGTAGAGAAGTTGAAAAAATTGTCTTAAATGCCACATTCTGGAAGAAGGTGCAGCACGTGAAAAAATCTTTAGAACCGGTTGCGCATGTTCTTCAGAAGATAGATGGTGATGAAACCCGATCAATAGCATATATATATAATGACATGTGCAGAGCTAAACATGCAATTAAAATTATTCATGGGGGTGATGCACGGAAATATGGACCTTTCTGGACTGTGATAGAAAACCAGTGGAGCTCTCTGTTTCACCACCCGCTTTACGTGGCTGCTTACTTTCTAAATCCATCTTACCGCTATCGACCTGATTTCCTATTGGTATGAGCTATGTCAACTACACCTCTTTTGGTTTTAAGCTTAATGTCCTGCCATTCTGTCCTTATGTCATTTCTTTGTCATAGAATCCTGAGGTTATTTGTGGTCTAAATGAATGTATCTTTGTCATAGAATCCTGAGGTTATTCGGGGTCTAAATGAATGTATTGTTCGACTGGAAGTTGACAGTGGCAAAAGAATTTCTGCATCCATGCAGGTAATGTGCTTTTTGTTGTGTTTTTTTTTTTGGTTGCTGTTGTATCATTTTTAAGGACAGGACTAGCATTAGAGATATTTTTGTGTAGTTGTCTGAAGGTTAGGCTACCAATAATTTGTGCTGCACTAAATGATGCCACAAAATGCAGCCAAAAGAACTATTTTCATGCTCATGATTTGATGTTTTGTTATGTATTCTTTATTTTGTTGATCTTTAAATGTGCAACCCCAGCAGATCCCTGATTTTGTGTCTGCGAAAGCTGATTTTGGAACTGATTTGGCTATTAGTACTAGAATGGAGCTTGATCCAGGTAATTTGTCCAAGGTGTCATGCATCTTTGATTAAGCATAACTCAAATTATGGAGTCTGATTGCTTATATTATTATGCAAAATCAAGAGGTGATCTAAATGTGTACACTTATCAATATCTTATTAGCGGCATGGTGGCAACAACATGGGATAAGTTGCTTAGAGCTTCAACGAATGGCAATTCGTATACTAAGCCAGACATGCTCATCTCTCATATGTGAACACACTTGGAGTATATATGATCAAGTTCATAGTAAAAGGCATAGTACTGTATCCCGGAAGAGATGGAATGAGCTTACCTTTGTCCACTATAATTTGCGTCTAAGAGAACGCCAACTAGGAAGAAAGCCTGGTGATGTGGTCTCATTTGACAACTTAATTACTGAAAACATACTGGATGACTGGCTTGTAGAGTCAGAGAAACAAACCATGCAAGAAGATGAGGTACCTCCAATTATATCTACTTTTTCTCAAAATATTCTTTTATCCTGCACATTGCCTCAATTCTTCAGGGAGTGATTGAGAACTTGGTGAAACCTCTGGTCCTGTTTTAGGAGATCCTTTATAACGAGATGGAACAATTTGATGGAGACGAAATGGATGAGAATGACCATCAAGAAAAGAGACCTGCAGATATGGTGACATTGGCAGGGGGACTTGAGCCCTTGGATGTTATTCCTGCT